CATATAAAAACGTTAGCTGGTCGATATTGCAGAACGTCCTGAAGACCCAGTGCCAGTCACACGCTTCACGCCAATCTACAAATGCAAGGAGGCCCAAGAATCCACTGCTTATTCATCACATACCATAATCCCCATAAACCGGCTTTGCACTGACTTGCTCACATAAATATATACATATAATTTAAACAATATTATACATGCACATTACCAATATTAATGAAGATATCCTACTATACTAACAATATTAACTATATCCCTAGTATAGTCTTGGATTTGCTGATTCGGGGTCCCCAAAAAATGAAACAAATCACTTACAGTAATCGATTCTCCCGAAAAATGGTGGATTTCCCATTGGGAAAATAAGCCAAATCACCGACTTCACCAACCACCCAGCTCCTGGGACGATGGCTTGAAGGGGAGGAAAGCCATCATCTGCAGCCTGGAAACGAGGCGAATTATTTTTGTCTGTGCCTACCATAGAAGGTCTATGTAATGTTTATGTTTTTGGTCCATGTAAGGTCTATGTTTCCGGGGATATGCCCTCAAGTTCTATGGCTGAAAATATGCTACAGTAGCTCCATGTAGCTCCAGTTTAGGTGGCTTTTCACCACCCCAAGAATATGCTCGTCTCAGCCGATCTTCCCATGGCCCAAAAACAATAAACATTTGGAACCCCCAAGCAGTTAGAGCTTATACATGCATCTGCCAACATTAACAAATAACCGTTTTCCAAACAATTTAATGGTTTGGACTGAAACCATCACCCAGCCATCTATGGGTTGAGCCGTGCAAGGCCCTGATGGTTCAAAGCACTGGGCGATGGAGAGGCCGCCTGCGAAACAACCTGTAGTTAAGCCGAAGTGACAGGCAAACTGCTAATTACTGTTCCCCCAAAAAAACTGGCATAACAATCCCGAAGAATGAAGCTTTGCAATTGGAAATTGCCAATTGGAAGCCTCTCAGTTGGCAGACATCCGCAAAAAATCATCGTGGCTCTTGGAAAATCACCACGCAAGGAGAAGACAAGCATCAATCTCTGTGCATCTTCCCGAAACCAACAGTTTTCACCAGCCCCAGGCCTTTTTCCAACTGGGAGAGGAAGTAAGCCTCGCAGGTCGCCATTTTTTTTGGGTCACCGATCCGCCAGGAGCCCATTTATGAGCCACCATGGCAGATAACAAAACATATGAATATCTATCTAATCCTTTCCCCCTATTACTAAACGTCCCCCAAATACTAAAAACTAGGGTCCATCTCTAATTTCGGAAAATTTCAGATTGGCCAATTTGACTTTTCATTGCTCCCCTTTAGAAAACAATTTAGAAATAAAGCTAGCATTCGTGTGTTTCGCCCCCTAATAATAAAAACTAGTCAACCGCGGGGTGTTTATTATTAGGGTCCTTCCGATTTTTTTAATTTTTTTTATATTAGGGCTTTTAATTTATTATTAGGGCCCGCTTCGAAATCCAATTCTTGGCAATATTTTAATTGCATTATATAAGGAAATTTAATTGATTTTGAAATCGAACAAACTAGTTTTTATTATTAAGGCTTTAATTTTATTAATAGGGCCCGCTTCGAAATCCAATATTTGGCAATATTTTAATTGCATTATATACGGAAATTTAATTGATTTTGAAATCGGAAAAAAACAGTTTTTATTATTAAGGTTTAAAGTTTATTAATAGGGTTCCCTAATAATAAATACACCCCTAATAATCAAAACTACCTGAGGTGTTTATTATTAGGGGAGGGGGGGACGTTTAGTATTAGGGGGAAGGGAGAGAGAGAGAGAGAGAGAGATATATATATATATATCATACACATATTTCATCTATGTTTTTTTTTGATCCAGCAGAGCGAACTCGTGCCGAGGCATGAACCGCTAAGGCTCCAGACCTGGGTCATCCAGGAAACCTCGGCCCAGCGGCCAGTTAGATGGCTATAAGCTGGTTGGTCCCCAAGAACTACAGGCTATAAATATCTATACAAATAATAGATATATGATATATATATATATATATATGCCCTCTGGTTATTTAACATAGCCATGGAAAATGGTCCATTTATAGATGATTTTCCTATTAATCCCTTCATTTATAAGGGATTTTCCATGGCTATGTTAAATAACCAGAGGGTATATGATTATATCTGGTTGGCGGTGACTTAACCATCTTGAAAAATGATGGAGTTCGTCAATGGGAAGGATGACATCCCATTTATGGAAAATAAAGCTAGTTCCAAACAACCAACCAGTACGATAAGGATTGACATGGATTGATAGGAGCTAGATTCCCGGACAGATTCCTTGTGAAACTTCTTGCATACAGTAATTGGCCGCCAGAAACATCCTGAAACTAGCTTTTGGATCATCATCCCGGCACAATGCTTGATTGACTGTAGCTTGCATGCTGAGGTATCTCTCCGGCCCATTCTCTGATGCATATCCCATCAACTTTCCATGATATTTATGGTCAGTGGTTGTCATCAGATCGGCCAGCTACAACCATCGCCTCGCGACCTCGAACTGAGGTGCTGACTGGTCAGCTGGAACTTCATGGGTGTCAACGTGCCAACTTTTCATAAAAATCACAGTTCAGTGAGTGCTACTGCTATTGTTTCCCATTTGTTTGGCATTTTTCCAAGGAATTTCAACAAAAATGCCGCCTTTTCTTCTCCAATTCTCCTGGTGATTCCAAGGCCAGTTGGTATCTCCATCATATTCTCGGCCGTTTGATCTCGCGCTGCGACAGCTTGGGCTCATAGGACCTGCTACCCGCTGGCATCGGACGCTACCTCCGAGGTGTAAATTGAAATGCCTTTTTATGGATATATGCTTTACATGCTACCCACACAGTCCACACACGAACATATATATAATATAATAATATAATATATATATATACATGTACATACAAAACAAATAGACATATAATTATATATATATTGATATGTGCAATGATATATTTACATATGAACTATAGTTCTAATCTCCCGTTTTTTGGGGACCCTTACTTTTATTCAAAGAATCCAACACATCCGGAGCCCAATGGAAGTGTTGATGGGAAAATCATCGAACTGGGGGATTGTCCATCGCCATGATTACCAGAGGGTAGCAACCATTGAAAGTTTCATGAAATCATGAAACTGTTTGTTTTTCATAAAACTGATCAAAACATATAGGTTTTTGATAAAGTTTATATATCTGAAAATAGAACACCCCACACCATCTCTGGTTCATGATCATGTCGCTATCAAAATTGCCGGAACCCCTTTCAGACACAACCCTTGTAAATGCTATTGTTTCGATGTATATATAATTACAGTATATACATATAAAACCAATCACATTTACAGGGGTATCCCCAGTAGATTCAATTTAACACCCTGTTCTTGATAGTTAAATCACCCAGTATTGTCGTGTAGCCATGAATTATCCCGAATAACAACTCAATGGCTATACAATCTATGCATGGAGCTTTTTTATTTGCTACCTGCTGCTGCCTCCGGCTTTGCCGGGGCACTCGCTCAAAAAAACCGCGAACGGTTTGTGAACCGAATCAATGGTCTCTGGGGCTCGGCTGTTCACTGAGTTTGGAGATCTTGGGATTTTCACAACTCGCTCTCCGGTGCTGATTTTTTTTCGTTGTCCCCAACTTGAACTGCCATTTTTTTACCCCAAAATTGGGATCCAATTGGGTCAATTGGAGAGGATTCATCCTAGACACGTCCTCGCGCTCTGCCCAAAAATTCACCCCTCGGGGGCGATCGCCAGACAGATGAGCCGTGCAAGACCGCAAGACTATGCAGAAAAAATGCTCTATATACAAATAGAATTATATATGTTCATCTATCTCTATATATATATATTATATATATATATGCATCCACATGCATGCAAATAGTTGGGGTAGATATCTTCATACTGTCATACTGCGTGTCCCCTTTGAATTTATCCATATCTATATATCTATAATATATAAACATATGTATATTAATACATGTACATCATATATAACGGTTTATCATAACGAAGAGGAAAAACCACTAGGTCCATACTAACTAGCAACAACTGGTACAAAACTTCTGTCAACTATTTTTGGCAAATGGTCATATATGGGGGGTTCCTAAAATAGGGCTACCCCTAAATAATCAATTTTAATAGGGTTTTCCGGTGTTCCATTATAAACCAACCAGCTATTGGGGTACCCCCATTTTAGGAAACCACCATATAGATATGGTTCATTTTTGTTGGTTAGATCCCATTGAACCACCATGTTTCATTGTTAAATCCCATTAAAAAATCATCATTTTTCATGGTTAAATATCATTAAACCACAATTTTTCATGGTTAAATATCATTAAACCTATATCATATATAGATATGGTTCTACATTGCAGAACGACCCAGGCCCTGTCTGACCTGGGCTTCGGCCTCACGAGGACAGAGCGGATCCAGCGGCGACCAGAAAGGTATCCTGTAGAAAAGAAGGAAAAAATAATCAAAGAAAAGCATTCTCTTAATATCAAAGATGATCTATAAGTATCTTAGATTAACCAAAGGTATAGTACGTAGAATCAAAGAATCACCAAAGATGTGCGTAGAATTGAGATCTGTCATGATATGTCAACAAATAATACAGAATAGTACAAATACGAAAACATATTGTGTTAAATGTTTAAGGCAGCTAGCCCCAAAAAAGTAACAAACAAAACCAATGAATCCAATTCAATCCATCAATGCCCATGGCCCCAGTGACAACCTACGAATCCATGGAAGCCAAGTAGTCACACATCGGATTTTCATGGATCCAGATGTTGGTCACCAATGGATAGCAGAATATCAACCGAAAGGAAATGAATTTCACATGTCCTTCGCTAGATTCAAGGAAAAAACGACAAATGCATTGTCTTCCCATCTTCTCCGCTGAAAACAAACCAGCCTTTCAGAAGAACAATGTAGTCGAAGTTAATGTCACATGGCGGTTGCCAACTTTACTCCCGAGAAACGCTTTGAAGATGCTTGGAAGACGCTACTCACTGCTCAGCCGCTGAGTTGTCCGAATCTCGGCAAGCAATGGCTTCAACCAAACTCGAACAACAGAGCTTGTTTCATGTTAAGCCACTGGAAACCAATGAGCATGTAACTAATCTGTGCATGTTCCCATGAAACCAATTGACATAAATTGATTCATATTGGGACAAAAATCATCCCAGCAAGGAGAAGTTGACCAAGCACAACCACCGATCAACATTTACTCGTCGATACTCGTTGAATCTCTTTGATAGTATTGGCTAGGATAAACGCTAGCACCAACCATCCCACTTTTTTTCCGATTTCATCTCATGTATTGAACATGTTAAGACCAGAGTGGTAAACCCATGGGCTGCGTTCATTGCTAACCTAGGATGCTTTGGGAAAAAGTGTGACCCGTAGAAAGATATCAAAGATTGCACTATCAAAATTGCAAATATATAATTGAGTTCATAAACCGTAAACCTGTCCGTTTCATCCATTTCCTGATGCTTGTGGGCTGCATCAGTTCTCTTCTTCATTCTTCTTGGCCATACCATTTTTAACCTTCCTTTCAGGAGCAGGTGCCTCCCTCATACACCCATTTTAATCAGTATTACCCTCTGGTAAACTAACGTAACGTAACTATGGAAAATCACCATGCTATCAATGGGTAATTCCACTATTTCTATGGCCATTTTCAATAGCTTTTTGTATGTTTACCAAAGGGTAACCATCATTAACATCATGGTGGGATCCACAATAAAAAACAACCCCCAGTTGTCAAATGTTGTCAATCATGCTGGGACTGTCATAAGCCAGGTAGGCAGGCTTGAGTTTTTCTTTAATTATAGATCCCCATATTAAACTGAGATCCACCCCTAAGTCCGTAGTCTATGGCAACCACGGAAAAAACCGTGATTCTTACGAAGATCATATACAATAATCCACAATAAAGCACCGTTTCTACATTTTCTGGTGCTAAAAATTGTGCGATCCCGAAACGTTTGCTTACCACACCAGCTCTTCCTTCCGCGCCGAAAAAGCCATGCTCTTGGGCAGCGAACAGGTTCCCGTCTCCACCAAGCTGTCTTCCACATCCACCGATGTTAACGGTGCATCTGGTAGACTGCAGGCCTAACAAGAAATTCACGTCACAAGCCCCAGTTCTTGTGAGATCCCCTTTTTGTTGGTGACTTCACATGGTGGCTATGACTATGTTATGCTTATGTTTAAGAAATTGGTTGTTCCAATTGGAGAAATTTTTCAATCTTGGATGTGACATGACCCTAGCATACCCCTGCCATGCTTGGCTGGGATGGTCCACATCCATCAACTCCCAAGCAAAACCCAAGCTCCGCTCGGAAGAAACTTAGAACATCTCAAATTGTATCAGACTAACCTTGCTGAACCATCAGATATGCCGGTCCAAAAATGATGAGTACCGTAAATTTATGGCCATGTCAACCGGGAAACTCATGGTTTTTTTTCGATCGACGTGGTACAGTAATATGCCAATCAGATTGCCAAGTCATGACTAAAAGATTGGGAGAAGCAACGCGGACGAACCCGCAAAGTGCCAGGGTCTAAACATGTTTTTTAGCCGTCTGGACCACCATTATATGGAATCCCTACCAAGTGGCAATTATAACTTCCCAACAATTATTAGGTAAAGGATGATAGAGGTATTGGCAATTTAAAAAATCCCCACGTATAAACTGGCAATTATAAATTTGAAATCCCGCCTTTCTTGATCTTTTTGAAAGAGAGGTATGTCATCCCCCAATTGGCATGTGTTAATCCAACTGTTGACCATGGCTTTCCAAAAACGAGTGTTTCTGTGCCCAGTTTGGTGCCCCAAGTCACCCCAAAGGTTTCCCACAATTTTGACGCAACAACTTGGATGATCGCTTCGGTCGGCTCACGGCAGTCTTTTGAAACCCCTGGAGATATCTCCATTCTCATTGCCTGTTTTTTTTCTTTCACCCTGATTGTTTAGGGGTGCCCAATCT